GGGAACCATTGATTTGAAGGTGAACCAATAATTGGGCAGTCTTTTACAAGTCCTATTGACCATAAAGGAATCGCTCATCCTCACACCTCAAACTTGAGGGTTTTTCTCATCAGGGACGGAGCCAGAAATCAAGCTCATAGAGGTGAAACACAGTTAACGAACCTCAAATGACCGACCTTGTCTGCTGCCACTTCATTTACAAAATACAAAATGGTATTCCATTTTCCTAACCCAACTACAGAGCTGCCTGCATTTATACCTTGTTGCAAGTTGGTAGTGAACAAATAAGAACATGTAACATGTTCTCACATGAGATAAACAGCAAGTTAAACCACTGGATAAGCTGAAAGCAATCTGTCATGAACTTTTCAAAGCAACCAAATAAAACGATAGGCCCAAATTCCTCTGTTCCAAAAATATGATTTGTGGGGGAAACGTCCATGTGCTTGTCAAAATCAACCCACTAGAGAAGATTGGATTTTTTTAGTTTTTACCCCAAATAAGTGTGCAGTAAATTTTCAGTTTACCATCACATGTTAAAAATTTAAGCCCATACCAACAGCAAGCTTGGAATAGTTAGCCGAGGGCATTTTTCATGGTGAAAGTGCATTCTGTGGTGCCAATTTTGTCTCCTTTGTGATGACATTCTTTATCTTGTTTAAAAGTTATGGGAAATCAAGGTTGACTTTGAAAAAGGGAAGTAGAGTAACCCTGATATTCACATGAACACCCATCGCTTTGCACTGTAGGATTCACATGCAAATGTCCTCCTTTCACAGTCACAAATAAGATAATTCAACTCTAACATCATTTCTTCTTCCGATGTTTGAATATTTCTTCTTATCCAAACTTGAAGGAGTTTTGTTATGTTACATCTGTTCCAAGGAGGCAAAATGACACAAGGCATGGGTTTTGTAGAAATGAAAGCTCAAAAATTTTGGTTGTTCTAGATATTCATCCATGTTGCTAGAAAATGATACTATTATCATCTTTGGTGATGCCCCATTTCTTTAATGGTTCAATCTAAAGAATCATGCCAACAACAAACCAACGTGGCTGTATAAATTCAGGGCAGCGTGTCAAAAGGAGAGCCCCTTGTTAAAGAGGACAGTATACATATTTCAATCACCTTTTTAGACTAACGGTTGTGTGATTTGTTGATCAAAAATTAAGATTGGAAAAGTGAAAGGGAGTTGAATGTAACATCTTCGGTGGAGATGAATAATTTGATTCAGCCTAGTCAAGAGTAAATGATTCACGGAGCAGCTTCTCTGTTAAAAAAAGATCAACCAACACCTCCACGTCTATCATCAAACTTACACTAATTTTGTCTTGTTGAATATCAGTCATACAAGTTTTGGTGGAACATGGAAAATAGAATATAACTTTACAACGAAATGTTATTAGGTTTCAGTGATGTTGGTTGGGCATCAACTGCACCTGTCAAATGGGTATTACAACTTGTATAAAATAAACTGTGCGATGGATGAGTGGCCCAAGCCTGTGATTCCAATCAAACTAATTGGACTTCCAATCAACTTAATGCAACGTAAGGCATGCTTCTTTCCGCTACAAAGCTCTCAATTCCCATTATTTTCTCCCAAAAACGATGGTAAAATAAAATCCAGAGAAGCCCCGATGTCTCCCAAAATTGTTTAACTATCCTTAAAAAAATTGTTTAACCGTACGCAACTTGTTTTCAAAAGTACTCAACCGCTTAAATTCATTGATTAATCCCAAATTCCGAATGCAATTTACATCATTGGTGACCAATAAAATAATAGTAAACTAGCACATCATGTTTCCTATTACTTGTGTGTATACTTATATTGCAAAGGCTTTATATTTGCCGAAGCCTTTTCCCTCCTTTAAAGGCAGCATTCCATGATGCTCACTTTGTATCAACAAGAGAATCCCAGTTGAAGGTCAAGTGAGCTGAACTAGCAAAGCTCACCTCCCTTTTCCTTTTTATATATACATTATCCTTCTTCTTTTTGGCGTTTATTAATACTATCCCACAGTAGACCCCGTACCTACCGGTTATCACCTACGTACTACTTTTAAATAGGTGTACAAATGAATCGAGTTTGAATAAATAAAGTTACGTTCGTGTTCAATTGCTTATTTTTTAAAGTATTCATATTTTGTTTGTACTCGTACTCGTTCGTTTAGCGTTTACTAATATAATTGTTTAATATTCGTGAATATATTCATTTAATGTTCCATAACCAATATTCTCTTTTTATCTTTTTATTTTCAAATCAAAGAAAAATGGTGAAATTATGCCACTAGTCTTTAAGTTTTATAGGCTTTACAGTTTCAGCTCTAAATTTCACCTTATGTTCAATTAAATTCTTATCTTTTAAATGTAATATTAAAAGAAAAATAATAAAGTAAACGAATTTATAAATGATCAATAAACGAACTTATTTGTGAACATAAATAAATCAATCATATATTTGTTTATTCATTTGTTTATTAAATGAACATAAATTTTATTCATACTTATTTAATTTAATAAACGAATGATATATGAATTGTTGATGAACCATAACCCGTACTTATAAAGCGGTGCATTTTTTGTGTGCAAAGAATGAGAAATGATAAGAAACAAGTTGCAGACCCTGCCTACCCTTGGAGCTTGCTTGGGGACTACTTTCTAACAACTTGCACATGAGAACCTGCAGTGTTTAAAATCTCGAGATTACTTGATTCTTGTTTTATCAGAAGTGAAATTTATGTTCAAATATATTGAATAAAATCATATTAGAGCCGGGAACTGCAAGGCTAGTGGGTTTTTGTCCGTTGTTTCCTCAATCCATGTTCATGTTGTTGTTTTTATGCAAGTTTGGAGCCGTCCTTTGTGTAGCCTCAAGGGGAAGAAATTCATGGCAGCAAACAGAATCCCTATGTGGCTTATAAATATACGTCCAAATCATTATTTTATAAACTAATCATTAATGTTTAAATATATGTAATATTTGTATATTTATTCTGTTTTTAACGTCGGCTTATGGCGACCGGCTTCAACTGTGTGCAGGTTCAGCATGTTACTCTGCCACAGCCTCAGCCTCAGCCTCAGGCCCTCAGCGCGTACCCCACTTCCCATATACCGTCTCTACCAAGCACATGGTACCCACATAAAACTAATACATCTCTCACCAACAAATATAGATCTCATCCTTATAATTTCTTTTATAAATTATACTAATATTAATTAGTTCAAATTATATGTCACAAAGATTCGAGACTTAACCAATTATTTGTTTTTAGTAAGATGAGACAATATATTCCTTTAATAAGGTCAAGAGTTCGAATTCTGATGTTTGTGCATGAAACTAACTGGATTGTGAATGTCATCTCATAATTGACCTATGCCAAATCTGATATGGATTAGTTTTTCAAGTAGATCAGATACCACTGATTAATTAAAAAAATTAAAGATTCAAACTTTTTTAATTCAACTATCATATTTATAATATTAAGATTTAAACTTCAGATTTTACTTAAATAATTAAGTATATTATTTTATTAGATTAACTAATTATTACTATATCTTAGTCTTTTTTTTTTCTTTTAATATAATTTGGGGTGATATAGTAAAAATGCACAATTACTTAACGGTGACAATTTAACTTAAAATCGATGAATTCTGACTTGATAGAGTTATTTTTTTTTAAAATAGGTTCGAGTTAGATCAGATTTTATATATAGTGAGATCAAGTCAGGTTTGAATGGAGGGAGAAAAACCTCCTACCCAATCCGAAGATAATAGTATCATTTTTAATATAAATTTATTGATAATTGTTATAATACCTTATATCTCTAGTTTTTAATTAAGTCATTAATTTTTATCGAGTTATATTGAATCAAATCTAATTTATACTCTAAAAATAGGTGTCAAATTGGGTTTAGGTAGAAAAAAATATAGACTTTGCATCGAATCAAATTGGATGAAAAAATATATATTTTTCGAATCGGATTAGGTTCAAATAAAATATATATTTTTCAAATCATGTCAGATTGACCAAAAATCCGATAGAATCAACCCACTATCATCTCTATATACATTCCACAAATATAATAATTTCTTTGTTTCATGGCAGCGAAGGTGGTTTTTCTGGCTACCATCTTGTCATTTTTAGTTATTTTTATCGTATTTTTAATAATAATTTCCATTTGTCCTTTTTCTAGTAAAGGATATCATGGCTACCGATGTTAGACTCTCGGTGCAGGTTTTTTTTATTGATCTTCTTCTCGGTCTTTTGTTTTTCACTGAATACATGGTTGGTTGATTTCTCGATGCCCGGTTCCTCTGTTCGTTTGTATAAGACGGTTCGTTGGTTATCACATATATGTGTCGGGTGAGATTACTGTTAAGGGGTAATCGCTTTTTCCGTTAGTCATCTTGATTCTTCTTCAAGTTTTTCTCCTCCATGTTTTGATGCTCGAAGTCGTTGGTGTGTTCAATTTATGTACATCGTTGTTTTATTTGTTAATGGTTTTATTTACCAGACTATCATTAAGTGATCATTGTTATATTTTATTTTCGATAGTATTGATTATATTTGAGTATGGAATTGACAAGTTATTTGATTATACGGATTTCGATAAATAAAATATCATAGTTATTTTAAAATATATATATATATATATACTGTTAAGTTAGCTTAAAAATATTATACATCCGTTTTATAATTTATTAGTGAGAACATATTGTATAGGCAGCATCTGCATTAGATTTTACATGTACCTTCTATTCAACCAATAAAAATAACTCCGTTTACTGCATTCAGAATAAGAATAAAAAATTGGAGAAAGATAAGAAAATTTTAAAAAAGAAAAAGGTCGGTGACACGTGGATAGCCTTACCCGATTTCCACTGTTCACCACTTGATACTCCACCTCTGCTTTCAACTATATATACAAACTCTCTTCGTCGGCCTCTGCCCCCATCTTATTCTATATCGTTTTTTCGCCAAAAACTATCGACTTTTCATACTTCAATGCCTACTCTTCACCTTTCCCTTGTGTTAGCCACCTTCTTCCTTCCTTCAGCTCTTCTCAGGTCATTCATTCATAAACTAACTGTTTATTTATATTAACCAATCAATCCATCATTCTTGACGTCGGTTTTAATTTTTAAGATTTATTTTTCTTGTGTTTTACAGGTGCTCATTCATCAACCTTTACTATAGAAAAAAATGCAGCTATACGGTTTGGCCTGGGATGTTATCCGGTGCCGGAACCCCTCCGATTTCACCTACAGGCTTTGTTCTTGAACCGGGGGAGCCAACATCCATTTCTGTTCCAACATCCTGGTCGGGTCGGATATGGGGTCGAACCCTTTGCACCCAAGATCCATTCGGAAAATTATCTTGCCTCACCGGAGACTGCGGCTCCTCCACACTCGAATGTTCAGGCGGCGGCGCCATCCCTCCCGCTTCCCTTGCGGAGTTTACGCTCAATGGTGCAGGTGGATTGGATTTCTATGATGTTAGCATTGTTGACGGCTACAATCTACTGATGATGATATTCCCAAGTGGTAGAACCAGAGGTAATTATACATCGGCGGGATGTGCGGCGGATTTGAACGGTGACTGTCCTGTGGAGCTTAAGGTTGTGGATGGGAGTGAAGGGGTTGCATGTAAGAGTGCTTGCGATGTGTTTGAGGATTCCCCATATTACTGCAGCGGAGCTTATGCTACTTGTCACGGGCTAGAAACTTGGGTCCGAGACATTGGTGTAAGCGTCCGACAAAGAGGTTCAATACGGAGAATCGGACTTACCGAGACCACCAGACTTAGCCCATTCTTGGAGAATGCTTAACAAGTCCGTGAAGGATCTATTCTGAGGCGTCTGAGATAAGCGACGAAGGCGATGGGGGCAGTAGTGTCGAGGCTCGTGGATTCGAACCGAGACATGTGAGCAGATATCTGTAAGAGAATTATACAGACTATTGGGCTTGCCCAGAACCATCAGATCTGACCCGTTCCTTGGAGGATTCTAGAAGGATAAGGTTAGATGTGATTGCCTTAAATTATGGAGGTGGGTTAGGTGGGAATCAATCCTAGCCCTTCATGTAAAACGATCTTAGCCATCGATTGAGAGGGAGCTCCCCTATAAATATAGAGCTTTCCTTCTCATTTGTAATCACCCAATTCCATTCTTCTCTTTGTGATAAAGTAATAAAGCTCTGAGGCATTTGCTCTATTCTTTCTGAGTTCTTTGGTTCTTTGTTCTTGTTGCCTATCTTGGTGTCCAGGAGTATCCACCTTCGTGTTTGCACTTTCACATAATAGTCCGAACTTGTGGCTCGGAGTAGCCACGTTAGTGTTTAAAGCTTCCGCAATCCGAAGCCTTGAGGACTTGGTTCCAACCTTTGTGAGTTCGCACACTCACTAGGCTTGGGTAAGGCTTACGTAGTCGCCGAGAAGACCGAGGAGCGTCTAAAGCGTCTAAGGCCGCACAACCCGTCAGACCTTGACTCTGATATTCCGACGGTTTGAGGCGTCGAAGTTCTGGGGGCGTGACATATGGTATCAGAGCGAGTCATTTTGGGCAAGCAACGATCGTTTCGACCATATTTGGTGGAAGGTGCAAAACCGGGTAAGTTTGTTTTACTTACTTTCAATCAATTTACTTGATAATTGAAATGGGGTACAAGAAAAGAGGAGTTTCCGCACGCAAAGGCAAGGAGTGCCAAGGTGGTAAATGGGAAGAGAGTTCGTTGGGCTCTAGAGCGTCACTGGTGTCTAAGCATGAAGATGTCGTGATGAGTTCGCAAGGAATGCTCGAGGCAACGAAAACACACCAAGGGGAGCCGGTTCTCGAGGTAGAGAGGCTCAAGGGTGACGCCGAAGGCATGTCCGAGTGAGACGACATGTTCTCTCATGAATACGAGAAAAGTCTTAATGAGGAACAAGGAGAAGAACTCTCACTGTAAGAGAAATGGGCCTACTGGATGGAATGTATTGCTGACCACACAGAGAGGCTCATTAATCTAGAGCATATCTCAACTTCGTGGGAACAAAGGGTCGGTAGACTTGAACAACCCGAGGATGAGGCCAAGCAGACCCAAGGTGTTGTGGAGTCCCGCCTTGATCGATTAGAGTCCATGGAGGGGAGATTCAAGGTCGAGACGCAACAAGTTCTAGACATGTTAGAGACGGTTCGAGGGAGAAATGCCCAAGAAGACGAGGTAACGGCTTTGAGAAACGAGGTGGATGAGCTCAAGAGGGAGCTACTCATATACAAGGGAGCAATGAGTGAATGGGGTGCGCTCAAGACCTTCTTGGAAGGACTTAGACCAGGGGCGATGCTCGGGGGAGAGCAAAGTGATTCCCAGAGATATTTGGAAGCCATAGCTGTAGCTGGAACACCGACTGAGCTTGCAGATGTCAAGATAAGGAGCAATGTGTCATCCAGGCCCATGCCCAGGGATAGTGGCAATAATGGGGGAGACCGGGAAAAGGTGCAGCGGGGAGATGGTACAGAAAGCTCTTCGAGTGGCCAAGTTGAGCCATCGACTGTTCGCGGCCAAGGAAAGCCATCGGGAAAGAATGGCAAGGCCAAGTCCAGGGAAAAGAAGAAGGCTAGCAAGGAAAAGCTGAAATGCTACTTCTGTGATGGTCCTCATTTGATAAGAGGATGTCCCGCGAAGCGTCGCCTTACAACCATCATGAGGATGATGGGAGAATGGGAAGTAGCGAGAATTGGCGGAGGCAGAAGAATTAAACCTGCCAAGTCAAGGGAAAGTCTTGGTCCGATTGATGGGATCAATGTGGCCAATCAAAGATCCATACGAGGCAAGGCTATCGATGATGAAGCAGCCAAACCCAGAAGGAAGCTCAATGCGATTTTGGGTGTTCAAGCAATCAAGTCAAGAGCAAGACTTGATGAGGCTACGTGTTCCAAAGTTGCTGAATCGAGGGGCAAGCATGGTGCGACTACAAGCTGTCAAGTAGTTCGCCCAGGATCGATACGTGCTGAGACTGCGGGTGTCAAAGCAGTAGAGCACAGGAAAGGACCCAGTACGATAGCTAGTGATAATGCCGTCAAGCAGAGGGTGCAAAGTGAGTAGGTTCGCTCACAATATGCCAAAATGGAGGCGTGGTCCAAGTTGAGGCGCCTCAGGCATAAGGGGACACTCAAGGAGTATGTAAGTCGATTCAAAAGACTCATGCTCAAAGTCCCAAGTTTGACTGAAGAATATGCATTCTTCACCTTAATGTTCGGACTGAAGCCGTGGGCAAAGAGGGCATTGGAGCGAAGGGAAGTCAAGGAGCTGTCTAAAGCCTTGAGAACCGCGGAGTCCATCAAGAAATTTGGAGTCAATAAGAACAATACTTCCAAACCAAAAGCCAAAGCCGAGGGTAGTGGCAAGAGATTTCGAGATGAAGACAAGTCAGAGGGTGAGGAAGGTTGTTCCTCGAGTGGCAGAGCAAGTCCACTCAATGATGAACCAGACGGTGGATCTGGTGATGATGTGTGTACTAGTTCAAGTGACACAGACGCTAAGCCGAGGGTAAGAGTCGAGCAAGAGAAGGGGCGCAAACTTGAGGTGCCAACAGTGTTTCAAGATTACCTGAGGAGAGCCGAGTCATCCAAGGTGATGGATGAGCCCAGGATCGAGTTGTCCGAAGAAGAGGACGAACCAAGAATCGAAGGGGCACTGAGGATTGGCTCAATACGGTTCATTTCTGCCAAAGCAAGTAGAGGCCAAGGTCAGACCGAGTTGTCCATGTCCAAGGAGTCGAGACAAGGGCTTACCGAGGATGTTCAAGAGAGGAACAATCCTTTAAAGACTCGTAGACAAGAGTCGAATGGGGCCAAGACGTTGAAGGACAAGGTAACCGTGGAGACACCACCCATATCCAAGGTGGGAACTGAGCTCCAACCTTCATGTTAGAAGGGAGGAAGTAAGAAGGGTCATCGGACTTTGCCGTGAGAAAGTGCCGATGCATGATGGCGCAAAGAACTCCAATGACAAGGGTTCAATACGGGGAGTTTCAGACTTTATGGAGCAAGAAGGGTTGACACAAATTTTTTGAGTAAATGCCAACTAAATCAGAGGGGGAAGGTATATCTCAACACATTTCTTGTGTTCTTTTGAGTTTGATTTTCCGTTTTAAATAAGTGTAGGTCGGGCAAGACCTAACTTTAATGCGGGGGAAACAAAGTTTGGATGGGATCCAAGACTTTACCGCAAGGGACATGAGGGTCAAAGCCGAGGAAAATCAAGAATTGTAGGAAAGAGTTCCTACGTTAGAGATGCACTTGTGGGCGTGTTAGCCCGTTTCATCACTTGGCGGCAAGAGCCGAAGCAAGCACAACCATTATGGGAGGCCGAGTCCTTATGGGGGACGTGAGCAAGCGGAGGCGTCAAAAGGCAATCAAGTTGATGTGAATTATGGCGTAAAAGATCGTGAAGTTACACGAGGCAAAAGCCAAGGCAAGCAGTTCGTATGGGAGGAGCGTGACAAGCCAAGGCACTGAAGAGTATCCAAGTTGGTGTTGCCCAGGATCGTCGAGTGCAGCGACGAGGGCGTCGCTAGGTTCGGTGGGGAAGAATGTCACGGGCTAGAAACTTGGGTCCGAGACATTGGTGTAAGCGTCCGACAAAGAGGTTCAATACGGAGAATCGGACTTACCGAGACCACCAGACTTAGCCCATTCTTGGAGAATGCTTAACAAGTCCGTGAAGGATCTATTCCGAGGCGTCCGAGACAAGCGACGAAGGCGATGGGGGCAGTGGTGTCGAGGCTCGTGGATTCAAACCGAGACATGTGAGCAGATATCTATAAGAGAATTATAAAGACTATTGGGCTTGCCCATAACCATCAGATCTGGCCCATTCCTTGGAGGATTCTAGAAGGATAAGGTTAGGTGGGATTGTCTTAAATTATGGGAGGTGGGTTAGGTGGGAATCAATCCTAGCCCTTCATGTAAAACGATCTTAGCCATCGATTGAGAGGGAGGTCACCTATAAATAGAGAGCTCTCCTCCTCATTTGTAATCACCCAATTCTATTCTTCTCTTTGTGAGAGAGTAATAAAGCTCTGAGGTATTTGCTCTATTCTTTCTGAGTTCTTTGGTTCTTTGTTCTTGTTGCCTATCTTGGTGGCCAGGAGTAGCCACTTTCGTGTTTGCACTTCCACACGATAGTCTGACATTGTGGCTCGGAGTAGCCACGTTGGTGTTTAAAGCTTCCGCAATCCGAAGTCTTGAGGGCTTGGTTCCAACCTTTGTGAGTTCGCACACTCACTAGGCTTGGGTAAGGCTTACTTAGTCGCCGAGAAGACCAAGGAGCGTCTAAAGCGTCTAAGGCCGCACGACCCGTCAGGCCTTGACTCTGATATTCCGACGGTTTGAGGCGTCAAATTTCTGGGGGCGTAACATACTCTAAATACGTGCAGGCCTAGATCTTACTCCCAATTCTTCAAGACTGTGTGCCCTACGGCTTATAGCTATGCCTATGACGATGGAACCAATACCTTCACTTGAGCTGGCGCTGATTACGATATCACTTTCTACCGTCCCCTACCGCCAGATCTAAATCCTTGACACTAACAATTTAAATTGTAGTTATAGTAACATAACATATATTATTACCATCATTTTTAGTTTCTTTATTTCAAAGGTTTAGGTTGTAAAATCGGTTTGGGAGTCACATGGGACCGGTCCCCAGATATGGCTTGCACGTTTTCTTTAATGGACGCCAGTTATATACACTCAAATTATTTCAAAACTTTTTTGGTTGGATTTCAGGCGCTGACACTTCGATTTGTGTGTGTTTGCAGTGTGAAATCATCCAATCCCATGGCGATTAACATCTCATCAGCCGGTCCCCATCCCGCATCATCAGCTCTTATTGGCAGTGCCATCGCCATTTTAGCAGCAATATGGGGTTGTGGCATTTGTTATGAGAATAATGCCACCCATGCGTTTCCCTTTCCATGTGATAAATTTTTTCATATGAAACTTGGGCAATTTGCAGGCAACAATCCCAACATCCGATGATATCACTGCCCTGCAATTTACTTCTCCAACTTGGAGAAGCAAAGAGTTATATTTTTCTCTATAGACAAACAAAAGATGGGAACATACTATATTTGATCATCATCAACTACTTTTTCCCCCACAGAATCTGTTGAAGGAAAGAAAGCTGGCAAATTAAGGGCATATTCTCGATTGATTTAGTGTAGGGGCGTACAATGATTAGTTGGCTACGTACATTTTTTTAGCACTTGTTGCCTACAAATTATGCCAACGGTGATGAGTTCATTTGTCACTAATTGTTTATAATGAAGTGCATTTTTCTTTTGCCGATGTTTCCTATGCCTGACGATAGTTAAATGTTCCTTTTTTTTCTGTTTAGGTAGCATGGGTTTGGCAGTCACAACTCACAACCCTTAAATATTTTACCATTCATGATTATTAAATAATTGGATTACATTTTATATTTAATAAATGAATTAATAATCTCTAAAGTAGGTGATTAAAAATTTTTATTGACACTTTCCTCTTCTCATTGTGAGTTTAATATTCATTAGGTATAAAATTTCTATTTCCACTCCTCTAAATGAAAATGTTTTCAAAAAAAAATTGTTATATATATATATATATTGACAGTGATGTTTTCATCAAATGATATTAATTTATTGTCACGTATTTTATTTAAAATTTTAATTAAATAATGGTTAAATTATATGAATGACTATCTAAAAATGGGTTGGTGTCAATATGATCATCATTTTCAAATAGGATATTTGACAAAGATTGAAATAAATTATAAAAGACTAATATTAATATATCAAATAATAATAATAATAATAATAATAATAATATGTATTAATCTAATTATTTATTTACCTTATGTCGATTTACTCCTATTAATAATTGGCTTGTTGGCAAAAAGAGCATAATCCACGTAGGAAATGAATGTAATTGTATTTGTACTTTTCGGATTCTATCAAAGAAAAAATGATGGTTGAGGTGAGAAAAATAAAGGAAAGGGATTGAAACTCGAAGTCAAGCATCTTTGTCATTATAATGTGTAATATCAAAAGATATGTCACGAGCAGTACTTTAGGGTCTGAGATCTTAGCACAATTACTCAGAAAGGGGTTCTGTGTGCGCAAACTTGGTTTTTCACTAGTGAAGCTTATGTTGGCCCAATTCTTGGAGAATGTTTGCGAGCCCGTGAAGGATCAATTATGAGGGCGTTCGTGAGAAGCGACGAGGGTGTTACAATGTTTGATGAGGGCAATTTTGTTAAAGCTCGTGGATTCAGACTGAGACATGTGTGTGGATTTTCGTAGAAGAGTTGTTCAACCTTGCTAGCTTGGATTAGCCCCATTGGTGTTTAGTTTATGCATCATTGGTTTAACCCTAGCGGGTTAGTGTGTCTCTTAGTGTGTTAGAGTCTCGCATGGAAGTGGTAAAGGCTGACTTAAACACCCATTCAACTTAGAAATCGTCTAAGTGCTGCACGAATCAGCTAGTACAAGTCTAGACCCGTGAAAAGTGATATAAAACCTTGTTTTTAGACAAGCTGAGTTGGAGCGTGTTGATCATTGTGGATTTAACAATTGTTCAGTTGGAGTTTTTGGAAAGTGTAAACAAGACGACACAACAAAGAGATGTTCCCACAAAGAATGGCGTGGAGAGCCATGGTGATGTTGGTGGGGGTGTGCTAGAAAGGAAATACTTGGGAAAAGTCTTAGGATCATTGGAGATGCATATTGAGAGCCTTGAAAGCTTTATCAATGAAGCCAATGAGGTCTAAGGGGTTGTGGAATCACATCTTGAACAACTAAAAGCCATGAGGGGTGGGTTCAAGGTCGTGGTACAACATAATCTCAACGATTAGTTGTTATTGGTGATGAGTAATGGGCTCAGGGTTGTGGTAGCATCTTTGGGTAAGAGATGGAGAACAAGTTACTCTTGTACAAGAGAGCAATGGGTAAGTGTGGGACGTTCAAGAACTTCTTGGAATGACTTAGACTAGGAGTAGTGCTTGCAGTTGAGCAAGGTGATGCTAGAGTTGTTCAGAAGTCGGAGCTGTAGCTGAGTCATAGTTAGAACTTGTAGAAGCCAAGTCAACTGATAGTGAGTCGTTTAGACCTATGCCCAGTGATAGGGACGAAAGTGGGGGAGATCACGAAAAAGGATAGTGGGTAGATTGTGAGCTCTTCGAGTGGCTCGGGGAAGTTATCAATTGATCATGGTCGGGACAAGTCATTGGAGAATCATAGCAAGACCAAGGTTGTGAATAAGAAAGGTAAGCCTTTGAAATTCTACTTCTGTGATGGTCCTCATTTGATTAGAGGGTGTCTCGAAAGGATTCAACTTGTTGCACTCGTCAAGGATGAAAACGAGCCAGAAGGGGCAATAGTCAAATATGGTGAGATTACCGTAGATAAAGCAATCAAACCAGGAACTGAGATTGGCATGAATACGAGTGGTAAAGTAGGAAAACCAAGGGTAAAGAAGCATAAGCCATTAAAGTGCTTCCTATGTAAAGGGCCACACAAAGAAAATAGTTATCCAAATAGGACAAAGCTCAACGTAAATGCAAGTGGTGAAAAGGGAAAATTGAGGGTAAATAAGTAAGGGTAACTAGAGTATTTCCTGTGTAAATATCCATACATGGTGTGAGATTACTCAGATCGGGTCAAACAGTCCAAGGGGAAGGACAATGTCCAGAATAGTGAGCCTATTAGGCTTGGTTTGATAAAGTATGTTTCTACTAAGCCAAGTGAAGGTCAAGAGTATAATGGCTTGTCTAAACCAGAAGTCACCAAAGTACTTGCTAAGGATGCCAAGGTGATAAAAATCACTATGGAAGTTGGAGTCGGTTCAAGGCCAAAAGAGCTGAAATCGTTGGAGGAAAATTTATCCTTAGTATTTTTCGTGAGAAAGGCATGGTCTAATTTGATGAATCTTAGACACGATGGGATGTTGAAAGAGTATGTGAGCCAGTTCAAGGAACTCATGCTCGAAGTCCTAGACTTGACTGAAGAAGATGGGTTCTTCACCTTTATTGAGGGACTGAAGCCATAGGCAAAGAATGAGATGGAGAGAATAGGAGTCAAGGTGTTATCTCGCGCCTTGAAATTTTTGTTTCAATCATTGAAATTGGAGTCAAGAAGACATTTAAGCCCAAAAAATCCGTGGATCATGGAAAAGGGATCCATATTGAAGCATTATCAAGAGATGGGGAGAAAAACACTCCTAGTGGTGACAGAAGTCCACTAAGAGTTGATGCAGTTATTAGTAAAGGTGACAAGGCTGAACTTCCTATAAGTGAAAATGACAAGTGCCTTAAGTTGAGGGTAAGAGACGTGCACTCGGAGGGTCACCAATGTAAGGGGCCATAAGAGTTGTAAGCTTGCCTGGATAAAGCCGAGTTTCTAAGGAGATGGACGAGCCCAAGATCAAGACATCCGAGGAGAAGGATATGCCCATGATTGATGAGTTTGTACGACTTGGCATAATGATTTTGAGGTTTTCCAAGGCTAAGGGAAGCCAGAAGTAAAGAGGGTTAATTTTCAGGACAATCAGGAGTTTCCTTAGTAGATACGGGGCATTCGATATATTCATGTCGAAGAAGGATGTTGAGAAACTTGATCTCTCAATTCAACCATCGAGTAAGAGGATCAAGAATGATAATTTTAAAGAGGTTCCAATTGTTGGATTGACAAAGAATATAGAGTTACAGATTGGAAAATAAAGTGGTAAGAAAGTGTTCCAGGTGATCCCATTAGATGACTTTGATTTTATCATCGAGTTAGTTTTCCTTGACCGAGTTCATGCTTTCATATTTCCCTGGGTTGATGTCATGTGCATCTTGGATTTCATAAGATAATGTGTAGTGCCATTGGTTCAAGATGAGAAGGAAGGGACCAAGACTATGACCGTCATTCAATGTGTTGATGTTTCGAGGGAGAGGGACATTGCTTTTGAGGCTACCATTGGAGAAACAATCGAGGAGTGGTTGATGGAGTCTAAGTCTTCGAGGAACATGAACAAAGTTGATTTGTCCACCCAATAGCATAGTGGGAGTGGCACCATACTTCGAGGAATGGGTGCCGGTGTGAGGTGAAGCACCAAACTTCAAGGTGGGAGTGTCAATGTGGGAGTGTCAAATTTCATGAGTAAGAAGGGCTGACATAGAGAGTAAATGTGACTGAGGAGTAATCGAGGGAGGTACATCTCAAACACTTTATTAGTCTTGTTTAGTTTGATTTGCCTTTGTTGATTGGTGTAAGTCAAGGACTTAACCAACTTTGTAGAGTTTCTTAAGTTTGAAAGGGGCATGCGAGATCTTTCAAAGTTTTTAGGAACAAGCGAATGTTGTATACGAATCTGAAAATTTGTGTTCTATGTCACCAGAGTATCTAAGTCTTTATCGCTGGATTAGAAGTATCCAAGTTTGGGTGAATACAAACTGGTAAGATGGATTTCTTATGCTCGAGATGTATACCACATAGGTTTATATCATATTGATTCATAACGGTGTAA